ATTAAGAAAGATACATGGTGTTAAAGTGCAAATTAAAAATTTTATTTTTCGCTAACTTTCATGTTTGTAAACATTTATATATTAAAATTTACAACTGGGTACTTTTAAATATAGGAAATTATATTTGATGCACACTTTGATGTAGCTGATAGAGGGCGCCACATATGCCACAAATATGGCATAAATTTGCACTTAACCACGAATTGTTGCTGTGGCAAAATAACCCTCTTCCTTTAGTAAGACAAACAACTGATAATTGGAAAAAAAAAATATCAAAATACACTTCGTGCTGATTTTTTTTTCGGTAATATTGGACAATATGTCTAAAATAACTTGAGGGCCCAATCCTAGCTCACTTTTTTTAGTGGAGAAGCTCCTCCATAAGGAAGGAGTTTAAACATATAACTCATCATCGGAGCAAATGCACCATATCTTGAAACCAAACCTCACAGGTTTATTTCTAATAAACATCTTACAAGGATGTTGTCCAAAATATGGCACCATTTCTTCATCAATTGCCAAGGTATGAGCAAATACGCCATATTACATAAATTTTTCATTTACTTTATTATGGCCTTAGTTTACTGTATCCGTCGTCTTTGTTAAGTTTTTGGATATCAGCAAAACGTAAATTTTGTTTTATACTTATAATCTTATTTTTACTCATGCAATCTTTTACAATTTGTACTTCTTTATTTTCGTCTGACGACCAGTAGATCGCTGTCTGAGGCAAGGTATGATAACCTGATAAAATCAAGATTCCAATCAATTTTCGCAATTTGTGATAACGAGAAGTTGTGTCTATCGTTATCCCGAGCGTATTTTTCAGAATACGCAATAATCATATTTTAAATAGTGTCATCAAAAAATTTAAAAAATATATCAACAGATGATAAGTCGCCTAAATGAACAATAAGTTGTTCTTTTTCCTCAGATTCTTTAGATTCAAGAAATATTTTATGTAAAAAATGCCCTGCTACCCACTCTGGTATTTTCTTGTTTTTATTAACATTTTTTCCTTTTTTACCTGTATTTTGTTCAGTCTGTTGTGACTCATGTAATTCAATATTTACCTCATTTTGTATCAAATCTTCCTCCCGTAAATGAATTTTAATTATCGACATTTCCTGAAAAATAATAATAAAATGTAAGAATATTGCCACATTTCCTATTTATTTATCTTTCTTCTATCCTCCTCCAAATATGCAACGATTTCCTCCAGAACTAATTGAAGTTCAGCATTCGTTAAAGCTTTATTCATATTTATAAAACAAAACAAAACGATTTATTTCACACTATAACAAAGTTGTCATTATCATTAAAACAAGCAGCAGGACTGACTGGCAATTTTACTAATTGCTTATCATATTTGAGGTGATACACCCATCAAAAACGCACAATAAACATTTCTATTATGGCGGTAAATACCAACCAGAACATAACAGATTTGCAAGCCTGGCATTAAAAATTTCATTCTCACATATATTACTATTTGACCGGTCATGCGTTTACGCAACACATAAATTTGAAATTGATTAGAAAAAAAGTTCTTTCTTGTATATACTTATTTATATAAAATACATCACTTTTAACACCTTGTCGAGTAAATAAAAGTAAAAAACACTTATTTATTTTACAGAATAAATTAGGCTTATTTGAATTTCACATGTTCAAAAGTTCAAATTATTCCCATTTTTATGAAAATATATTCTATACAAATTTTTAAAAAATTATAAACTTAATTCGTTTTTTAGTAAATGTAACCTTAACTTACATTGTAATAACCACTTACATTATCCTCTTGAGTGGGTTTTGACCAGACTGTTTTGTAATTTGTATTCACAGAACAACAATCAGAGTTCGAGTTAGTACTAAATGTAAGTTAAAAATAAATTAAATAATTGAGTTGTTTTGATTTTTCTTTTTTTGTTTGTGATTTTTTTTTATTTTTTTTTTATTTTTTATATTTTTTTATTTGATTTTTTTATTTCCTTGTATTACTTTTTTGATATTGTATATAATATGTATATATATTTTTTATTTTGTTTTGGTCTTTTTTTATATTAATTTGGTTTGGCCTATTTTTTTTTATTTATTTGTTTTTTTTTGTCTCTTTTTTTCCATTTTTTTTTCATTTTTTCGTATTAAAAGGTTTATTACATGATTGATATGTTCGCAAATTGCTTACAAATTTTATCTTAATTCTAGGGTTAGTACATTATATTGTTTAAAGTTTATATTTACAATTTCTTATTAACTGATAAATACAATTATAAATTTCTAAGTTTCCAGAGAAAATTAATTCATTTATGTGAAATGGAAAACACACATTTAGTTTTCGTAAATTTTCATAAAAACATGTAATATTCCCTTGTTGGTTTCCACATTCTAATAGGATATGTGTTAAATCTCCATATTTACCACAAGTACAGTGAGCGGGTTAAGCCATGTAAAAAAAAAACTATTATTTAAGGTGTTGCGTAAACACATCACCGGCACAAAATGGGTTTTAACTTCGTTGCTTTCTAAGTAACCTGTATTTGTGATAAAAAATATTAAAGATACATTATTTTAACAAAAAAAAGGTATACTTGTTAATAACTTCAAAACTCAACAGTTTTCGAGATAATCGCATTTTACAAATCAGCTGCATAATTCTGATTTAAGGCAATTACTCCAGGCAACGAAGGAAAAATAGACAAAAACATTAATACTTCTGAATTTTGGTATAAAATACCTTTAACTAAAGTTAATAGTTAACGAAATATTAAATAAAAAAAATATATCAGCAGGATAATTAATAATAGGATTTGACAAAATAACAGAATAATAAGATTTTACATCAAACATTTTACGTTTTATGTTAAATTAGTCATAATCAAAACATTTTGTTTATAAACCAAATTAAGAAATAGTTAAACTAAATAACATAACGTTTTGTCAAAGTAAGTGTTCGATATGTCCACCGTTTTCTTTAATTCATTTGTCAATAAATTCCATAAAAGATCATCTCATATTAAATAGCATCATTGGTTCTAAAGAAGCTGCTGCAGTATTTATTTTTTCCCATAGTTGGTTGCGAATTTTTATGGGATTCTTATAATAGATACGTTGTTTTCATGTGCCCCATACACCAAAATCAAGCGGATTAAATTCTGGGCTACGTGGTGGCTATAATGTATAACAGATGAATATATTCTTTTTTATATTAAATAATGTTAATCGTTAAATAATGTATTAGACTGTGATGTATCTCGTTCATTGGTTACTTATATACACACGGAATAACCTATCGATGACATTACTTATTTATATGATTACGTTACAGCTTACGAGTAACTATAATTACATCTCGAACAAATGGATTATTATGATTTACTAAAGAACTAATATTATGCTGAACTAAATTGCCTGTGTGTTTACTATATTTATAACAATATCGGTTATTAGGTCAACGATGATGTTTTTGTAAAAATGCTGAGTCTTTAAGATTAGATTTGTAGCAAAAGTATTATGAAACAAGACACATATGTGTTATTCAATACCTGTCCTCTAGTTTCTAATTATCCTAATAAAAATGGGTAAACAATTTACGTAATGAATAAGTATTCTTTTGGGATTTTTTATGAATTAAATTATTATATCAATATATCACCACATTTCCAAGGAATATGACTACCACGACCAATCCAACATTCAGAGAAGTTGTATTTAAGTATGTTCTCACTGCCTTTTCTCTAGAATGTGGTGGTGTACCATCTTGCATAAACCACATATTTTGGGTTTTCAGCATTTTACAATAGAGAAAAAGTAATACAACGCCAGTATAGAAACTTAAGGAGTGATAGAAAAGGGAAATCGTAAACATGATGACTGCTAACGTCTGAATACGAAAACGGCACTTAAAGAAGAAGATGAAAAGTATTTTCTCCAATAAGACACTTGCCAGCCATAACAAAGCATTTTGTGATGTTACATTATCATCTTTAAGTTTTTTAATAAGAATAAACTATAAAATTATGCTTATCTGCAGGTATTCAGTGCTTTATCGCACAAATATCACAACTAAGAATTATTATGCAGCTGACTTATAAAGTGCGATTATCTCAAACAGGGTTGAATTTTGAGGTTACTAACAAGTTACCTTTTCTTTGTAAAAATATTGTATCTTTAATATTTTTTAACACAAATACAGCTTACTTAAAGAGCAAAAAAGTTAAGCGCAATTTATGTGGTGCTCTCTATCAGTTACAATACAGTATGTATAAAATTATAATTTAACCTACTCAAAAAGCATCTAATTGTAAATTTTTGTCCAAAAATATTTACAAACGTAAAAGTTATAGCGAAAAATAAAATCTTAAATTTTCACTTTAACACCCTGTATCTTTCTTAATATCAACATTTTATACAAACAAGTTGGCTTAAATCGTAATATTTTAAAGTGCAAAATCTACAGTTTCTGTTTGTACAATTACTTAAGGACCACCCTGTATACAGTGCTAGTCAAAAGTCCGTTTCCCCCTCGTATCGTTTTAACGATTATTGTTATAACAGTGAAATTTGGAGGGAGACAATAAACAGACGTAGGCTTCTCAACTAGTCATAACAGTGACGTAATAGTTACGAATGAAGTTACAGCGCCACTGTGACAGATAATTTTAAATGGAACCTTATGGCAAGTGATACCTCGTTTGAAATGTATTGAAAATACCTATTTAGTCATAATAATTTTGTTTAAGTTCAAGCTCATTTTGATGAATAAATTAAATAAATACTAAACTTATAATTTGGCATTTAATTAATAAAAATTCGAAATTCCGCCTTTGGTTATTTGTCAAAAAAGTTTACGTTAGTCAATTCTCTAGTTGTTTTTAGTTTACTAAAGTGTTTATAGCTCAATATTTAGTTTTTGTTTCTGCTTAGTTTAATCAATTCTATAGTTATTTTTATTTTGCAAACGCGTTTATACCTTATATAACATAAAATAAATACAATACCATTCTCCTGATGAATGTTAAGTTGCCTATTTGGTAATCATAATCTGGAATTCCTCTCACATAAGTTGGTTTAGCCACTGAACTATCAGCTCCGGAAGTATCTTTACGCTTTTTGCCATCAAGTCGATTTCCTGCACCTCTAAATGCTACAAATCCAGAAGGTTCTGGCATTAAATCTGCAGGATCTATGGCCATTTCTTCTTCTTCCTTTTTGACTTGTTCGGGTTCTTTGTATCCAACAGGAGCAGCAAATTCCACCTATAAAAATAACAGCGTTTGAAAAGGTTAAACACGGTAGAGGCACAAATAGGTTATACATAAACAGATAGGCACTGTAAAACGAAGTTTGAAAGTGTATCCAATTCTTGAAATAACTCCCAGGAAGCCAGATAGTTATATACTTGTAAATTGGAATCTAATTTACTACTAAACTAGAAATTTATTGGAAATTCCTATGTCCGCTCTATGCACAAAATTTCAATACCATTACCATTCACAACTTTTAATATTCTTTCAATAGATGTGGTCATATATAAGGTTATTGGGAATTTCGATGTAACCTTTGATGAGACATAACCTAAATACACGGAACACCCTTTTTTGCGCAGATTTGTGTTCTTCTTGAAAAAATAAGTGCATTTTATTTTACTAGAAACGGTCTATCTCGAGAAATATGCTTCTAACTGACAAAATAAAAAAAACACGTTTTTAGCATTTTTCAAAAATCTATCGAATATCATCAAACACAACCCCCACCATCACCCTCTGGGGTATGGCGGGGGCAAATTTGAAACCTTTAATAGAAAACCTAATTTTTATTGTAGATTCAGATTCTACGTGAAAAAGTAAACATGTTTTATCTGATTTTTTCCATTCGCGATAGATAGCGCTGTAATCGCAGAAATTTTTTTTTGTGTAAGATAATTTTCAAAAAAATGTATGAAAAGACCTTAAAACCAGTTTTTTTTTGTAATTTTAAATCACAATATAACTAATAGATGGCGCCATACTATGACTTACAAAGGAAGCTATAATTAACAAAATAAATAAAGAACGACGTATTTTATGTCATCCTTTAACAAAAGTACATTTTGTATATTTTGAAGTATATTTTGACATATACGCATACCCAGTTGTGAATCATTTATTACTGTGCTTTAATAAAATAAATTCCGTCTGTATTTAAATTAAATACCTGTATTTATAAATTAAATTCAGATCAGAACTTTTATTTAAAGATCCTATACTTTGACATAACCTGTCAAATTATGTGTAGAGAGAAAAAATATATCTATTACTTATATTTATTTATAATTAGACTTCGGCAAATATGCATATTGCATATTTTGCATATTGTGCATATTTTATGCAAATATTTCATATTTTGGCATATTTGTATAAAAGTTTGCATAAAGTGCATAAAAGTTCAGATTTTCATACTGTATTTGAAAATTTTTAAACATACCAATTTATTTCAATTCTTGTATAAAATTTTGTAGTCATTTTAATCAAGAAATGATCTAAGTACGTAATCTCTACAGGTACAAAACATTTACAATTTCAAAGAAGATCAATTTAAGTAGCCCTCAACATTCTTAGAAAGTCTCGGTCACTGAGGCATTCAGTTATTGGATAATCGCTAAGGGTTCGCTCATTTGCATTTTATGATCTAATCCCCAAATCTATCTACAATTTATTGTATCTTAACAGCAGGTAAACGGCTAATAGTTTTGTTCCTAATTTAGGGATTTTCCAAAATCTCCCAGTTTATTGAATTAGGTACCTAAACATTTCTAATTTGATGCTCAGATTTGTAAATCATTTTTGTTTTGATATTCATAGCGTAAACACTCGTTGTGCGTAACAAAAAGGAAGATTGTGATTTTATAATGCCTAAAACAACCAGTGCTTCAACTTGGATTAAACCTTATAAAGAGCTGTCTATGGATATGGGAAAAATCTACTGTTCAGTCTGTGGCAAAATTGTAAGTATCTAATATTTTCTATTAAATATCTAATATTTCATACATACAGGGTGTTTCCAAATGACACTTACAACGTTTGACTGTAGATACTTCTCGAAAAATTGAACAAAACGATATAGTTAATAAGCGGTCAAACTTATTTACTTTTCGAGATACAGGGTGTTAAAATAAAAAAAAAATTAAATTCTTGTAGTTAATAACAACAATAATTTTAAAACCAATAAACGTATTTACTTGAAATTTAGTGCTCGTAGGTTGTTTTTAAATGAAAAATAGCTTCCTTTAGTGAGAAAAAATTGTCCATGGTACAATACAATGGTGTGTATTTAGAAAAATTTTTCACCTTTACTTTTTTTTATGAAGTCAGCTATTCTAAAACACAATTATTTTTATTGTAATTGAATTAACAAAAAAAAAACTTTTGTTGAATTTTAAAATAAGTTATATGATGTACTAATGGTTAGTAACAAAAACTAATTTGTGGATTAATACTGCATTTAAAACACTTAGTGAGTATTTTAAAGGTTGGGTTAAAATAAAGGTTTTTATTTTTATTTATAGATAGCATGCATGTAAGAAGAAATTTCAGATAGACCAACATGTGAGAACTGCTTCACACATTCCAAAAAAAAGGAAAAATAGGAGGAAAACTACAAACTTCAATGGCTAAATGTTTCCAATCTACTTCAAAAAAATTAGATGAGCAAGAAACTTTTAATGAAGACTTATGTCGCGCATTAGTGTCTGCAAACATACCGCTTTCAAAATTAGCAAATGTAAATTTTAGTTCGTTTCTAAAAAAATATTGCAAACTTAATGTTCCAAGTGATCGGTCTCTAAGAAGAAATAATGTGAACGGGCTATACTCGTCGGTGTTAATTAATATTAAGGAAGAAATTGCAGATAATTATTTTTACATATCTGTAGACGAAACCACTGATTCCTCAGAAAAGTATATTGCTCATTTATTGATTGGTGTTCTTAAAGAAGATACCTTACCAAAATCTCATCTTGTTTCATGCCAGCAACTTGAGAAAACAAATGCTTTAACAATTTCGCGTTTTATACAAGAAACATTAGCAACTTTTTTTCTTCCGACAACTATTCCTTCTAATAAATTACTGCTTATTTTATCGGATGCTGCTCCTTATATGGTGAAAGCAGGACAAAATTTAAAAATATTTTCCCAGATTTAATACATGTTACTTGTGTAGCGCATGGATTAAACAGAGTTGCAGAGGAAATACGAAAAAAGTTTCCTCTTGTAAATACCATGATATCCAGTGTCAAAAAAGTATTTCTTAAATCTCCTATAAGAATTCAACTTTATAAAGAAATGCTACCTAACATTCCTCTTCCACCACAACCTATTTTAACGCGATGGGGAACATGGTTAGAAGCAGCTAATTTTTATGCAGATCATTTTGTTAAAATAAAGAACATAATTGATACGTTAACAGATGAAAGTTCCCAATCTCTTTTGGATTCTAAACAAACTTTTCAGAGTAACTTGCTTCAACAAGAACTTTCATTTATAAAATCAAATTTTAGTTTTGTTCAAAAAACAATTACTCAGTTAGAATCACCAAAACTGTCATTGTTCGAAAGTACAGCATTAATAAAAGAATTTGCGTCATGTTGTCGGAACGTTAGAGGTAATATTGGAAAAGATATTTTAAAAAAATTTGAAGCTACTATGGAAAAAAATAAAGGTTACCATATTCTTTCTGAAGTAGTCAGTGTTCTAGCTGGAAATATTTCGGAAACAATTAATTTAGAACCAAATGTTTTGGTTAGTTTGAAAAATGCTCCCGTTACATCAGTTGATGTTGAACGAAGTTTTTCCATATATAAATATATGTACTCAGACAGAAGCCACAGGTTTTTGTTAGAAAATTTTGAACACCACTTGGTCATTTATGGTTACCATAATTCTAAATAAGTTTATTCATACTTAAAAATGATGTAGTTACTTAAAATAAATGTAAATCTTAATAAATAGTAGGAAATATTTAGTTATGTACACTTTTTTTTTAAATAAAATTGTTACTATTTTACTATTTTTTTATTTATTTGTATGCATATTTTGTAAAATATTTGCATATTTTCGGGTAAACACGTGCATATTTATGCGCATATTTTCTACATTTTTATTTGCATATTTGCCGAAGTCTATTTATAATATAAGTAATGTTAGAAGTCTTTTTTGACCAAATATATTTGACCAAATTTGTTGTATGTTTTGATTTATTTAATAAATACTGTTATTATTATTCTCAATTAGTAAATCTTCAACATTATACAGATAATGTTCATAAGTATAGTAGGTATAGTTGCCTCGTATTTCGGTGAGACTGTGTAAGAATATATTTATCTGTAATAAAAGCAGGCAATAAAAATTAAAATAAAAGTACTCTACCAGGAGTAGTTATTAACTGCAAAATTATCAATGACTGAGATGTAAAGTTTTAATATCCCCATCGATATTTACATTCAGATGTGCCTGGTATTATGTTTGAAGATATGTACAGTCGCCCAGATAAAGTTATCATCGATGCATTCTTTGCCTAAGATAACAATATTTGCCTGAGCGACCGAAACTATAAGGTAGTTTATCCAAATAAATTTCGTTTTGACCGTCCAGTGGTTTACACTTGGGTAGGTAGGAATAATATTTTACTTTATTTTAAACTTTATTTTTAAACGAAATATTGTTTATTTGGATGAAACCTGGTATGGTACTCATGACACGGTGAAAATAAGTTGGACGAATAATAACAAAAAGTGTTCTAATTCAGTACCGCCCAATAAAGGACAGAATTATAATTTTACACTGCGGTGTAGAAAATGGATACATCGACGATGTATTATTAATATCTGCAAAAAAAATGAAAGACGTGAATCTAGATTATCATGAGGATATGGAGGGTTCAAGTATAAAAAAAGTTCAACTCAGGAACCATAGATGTAAACGTTCAATGTTTTTTTGAAAAAAAAAAACAGAAGTTAGTTTCTATAAAACTCACAAAGAAAGAAAGTACGTAAAAATATGTAAAAGAACAGTAAACTTTATAATTTTACGAAGATACTTTTAAAATGTGGCACCCGTGGTGTGATAATAATTCTGCAGCTGAAAATCCAGTGGAACCCTCTAATCAATTGGAATATTTACAAAGCTGTGTAGTAAAATGTAAGCGACATTTTCAATATCTCTCTGATGATCCCAAATATATGCTGAAACATGTTTATGAAGGATTGTGTTCTAAATTGTCT